AGATTTTCCTGCACAGCCTCATGAGATCAAGCGCTCAACATAGCGCTGAAGGGTACACGTCTTTCGTTTCTTAGTACTGATGGGTTTCCACTGACCGCATGTAACGAGGCTTCGCCAACAACGCGTACTTCATTATTCAATTACCCGGCCGACGATATTTCTGAACCTCTCACCAGACTTTGCCTCTCCATCCTCCGAGTCAAGTTCTGTCATTTCATCCAGGTAAACCGGTGTTTGATCAATTTTAAGAATTTACGAACTTTCATGATACTCATCTACCCAGTTCTCCGCTCTCAGCACTAACCAATCGGATGGGTTCTTATTGTTAAGGGTCCGAGTAATTGCTCTACGATATTAACCAGCGTTCACCTTCTCAGTGGTGCTCAGCTCATAAAGGAGGAATTCGCACTTTGTGGTTTTTCCTGGTTTCTGGTAGAAGCTAGTGGATTTATCAAGGGGACTTGGAACACCCGTGAGCTTTTTCCAAGTAAACCCTAGTAAACCCAACATAACATAACCAAACTAAGTATTCCTGATGATAGCGGGATCCAGGACCGGGACCTGAGCGGACGATGATCATACATGATAAAACCTCAGCGTTTCAAGTGTCGACGGCTAAGGCACACCCGAGTTGCTTCCTGGTAATAGTAGTACTCGCATCTGGATATAGTATTGCTCGCTTTACTATTCTAGTATATACAGATGATGGTAAGGTGGGTGAATGCTCAACGTATGCCGGCGGAAACCCGTCGACTTTTCAACCGTTCAACCTTCAGGGCGCCCGACCAGCCTGCTATCATCAGGATCAAGAGCGCTGAGCAGCGCTGGGCCCAAGCAATTTCGGCGGGAGGGAGGGATCAAGAATCTATCAACAATTCAGCAATTCAATAACCACTGCATCTCATGGATCAAGGATGTAACTATGTATGTACTCAGTCTAAACGAGTCTAGAAGGGTTTTCCCTTTCTCTTGCTTTCTCGCTTTCTACCTTCATCCATGCACCATGTCCCTAGGGACTACATCTCCCACTCGTCGCTCATTTCTGTCACTCTTTTTCGCGTTTGCTTGGTTCAGTTTCTTCACCTTTACTATTAGGCCAGTCAAAGCTCAGACCACGATTGACGATGCCCAGTCGGCTTTCTCATTTGCGTCAGCCTGGAATGTAATTACACCTTCGGACCCCTGTAGCGGATGTGCTTTCAAGCCAGACGCCTCGCAAATTCTTGATGGCACTTGGCACGAGGGGTCTGTAGCGGGCAGCACAGGGTCGCTCGCCTTCGATGGTGCGAGAACTGTTTGTTTTGTGCGTGTAGGCCAAAAAAAAATTTGATAAACATCATACAGGAACCGGTGTCTCCCTCTTTGGCGTAGTGAACGGCGCCGAGACCTGCGCTATGACGTTCGTTCTGGATGGAACGACCTCCAGCCTCGACCTCTCTGCGATTCCTCCATCCGTTAAAACATACAACTACCAATACTTCGCCCAAGGGGGGCTTTCCAGTGGCTCACATACCCTTTCGTGGACAATCGGAGCTAGCGTTGATAATGCTATTGCTTTGATAGATTACGCGGTTGTAACCTCTGCTGCTGCGGTGGCGGCACCGGTCGGGACTACTAACCCCGGCAGCTCTCCTACTCCCTCAAGTCCTGCGGGGGCACAGACCACAACTGTTACCAGCCAAGCATCCGCTTCGTAAGCTTATCCCCTGCATCATCAATTGCCCTTCATCCTGGAACTATTCTTTGTTTTCTGCAGATCTTCCTCTAATACACAACTACCATCCTCCTTGTCCATTACAGGATCAGGATCTTTAACCTCTTCTTCGCAACTCAATTCCTCAAGCTCAACAATCTTGGCCGCTATCACTTCCGGCTCTCCAACTACTGAATCACCCGCCTCCGAGTCAGCCGTTGTCATCACAGTCGGAACGTCACTCGTTACATCCATGGTTATTTCCTCCGCTACGAGCACCCCAGCCGCGGACGTATCACTTGCTCCCCAAAAGCCTAAAACTGCTCTCATTGTCGGTGCCGTGCTTGGGAGTGTCCTAGGCCTCGTATTAGCCTTCACCCTACTGTTCCTCATTTTACGAAGGCGTCGTCGATCAAAGACGCCAAAATCGACTCCCTTCTATTATAACCACCGTAAGTTTCCTTCGTTTATGAAGGAGTGAAGAGTCGTCTCTCATCTTGAACTGTAGAATTGGATGAGGTTATATTAAGAGAAGACGGGTTGTTACAAAAGGTGTACCCGCCAGAAAAGGTAGCACCTATTTCAAGTTCGAGGGCTCCGAGCAGGATAAATACTACCAGGCCTCCGAGTCCCGAAACCGTGACTTCGCCCCCCACGGTAGATAATGGTGAATTCTCCCGTATTCCTTACTATGATGCATCTACGACTTCAGTTACTCATAAATTATTTTTTTATAGGGAGCACGATGGTGACGGGTGCAAGCCCCGAGAACTCAAGCGTGGAGCCCTCTACTACTATTGGGCCTATTCAACACATGGAACAAAGAATTCTTCTCCTTGAGCGTATTCTCCAGCAGACGAACCAGGGGGAAATCATGCTCCCAGATGATACATCTCCTCCTCCTTATTGAATTATTGAATTATTAGTGCCATGTTATAAACTTGGGGTTTCTCATAATAGTTCTCACTTACTAGGTTCTCTATTGTAAATAATGTATCTGGTTATACAAGATGTGACGATGTCTATAACATTTTCTTCTGGGTTGATAAGTAATTTCACAAGTAATTTCATTTACTTACCTGCACGGAATATATCTCAGCAAGTTGTAAAGACAGAAAGGTCAAAGAATGAAATCTTATGAACTGATCGCATGGAACAGGACCCTTCGGTCAGAGTCGCGGAATGCTACGTACTAAGTGTAATAATAGGGTTTAGCAGATTATGGTGCTCGAATATAAATGTTACTGGAAGGTAGACCCCAACCGAAGTTAACCCACCAATCGGTGTAGAAGCAGAGAAGTTGCGTACCGATGGATCCAAAAAAGGAAAGATTACTTACTCGAATCGGCGTGAATGCACACTGGGGCTGAGAAGGCGCTATCAAAAAAACCTGGAAGAAAAGCTGAACATGCATATAATAACTTGGATACTCACTGATACAATACTAATACAAAGGGATTCAGAACTGCCATACAGTCGATCACTGGTTTCGGTAGACGAAAGATCCTTAGAATGAGAAAAGAAATCGAACAGAGGGCATATATGCGGCATGCCTTCTAGCCGGATCGAACGACTGGCCTTTGCATTGTATCTACCTATTGATGGGTAGAAGGCCACATATACGAGTGCAACGCTCTGCCACACCTGGCAAATGTACCCTTACCGCTGGACAGTTACCAACCGATTTCTCGTGTTGTTTATGTCACGCGCCGTTTGAGACACCCGAACATGTTCTCCTGCAATGCACGGCAATTCCTCCTTTGGTTCACCTACGTGTCCATTTCCGTGCCATCGCTACATCGTCCCCGCTCACTTCGATCCCACATGGCCAGCTCAGTGATGGGGATGCGTTACTTTATCTCAAAGGCCGAATTTTTTCCTGGTCGGATGTCTCTTCCACGGCAAAATTTATCCACGAAGCCATACAGCTTTGGACTACAGCTATCTCAGGCATTCCGTTGGACTACGGCTCGGAAGGAGAGGATGAGGATTCTGATAGTGGATAATGGGAGTAGTAAAGGTTTTCATCGTACTTTATCATTAGCTAGCCTCTTTTTCCGCTCTGGGGCCTGGCCTTGCTACCCATCCCTACGCTGGACTTGCAGTCTACCTTCTCCTCGGGAGTCGAGCTCGCTGCTTGCGCTATCGTAGGGACCGGCTGTTTCCCTTGCGGGACCACTGTCGGTATGCCGACTGGGCCGTGTACACCTTATACCTTATACCTTATACCACTGAGCTAAGAAGGCTTCGGGTGTTGGGTTGTGGGGTGGACAACAACGGGTGGATATGATATGCAAATACAAAGGATATACAAGGATTAAGTCGGGACCCGTGTAGCATAGGTCAGCGCGCGCAACGTGTAGCCACGTAGTCACTGCTAAAACAGCTAAAAGCCCACTCAACCCTCACCGGTTGAAGTAAACAGAGCTTGAAAACAAAAAGATTACAATTTCTCCCCAGCATTGACATTGCCTCCTAGTCGAATTGAACGACTGCGCCTTTGCATTGTAAATGATGTCAACTTACAAGACTCCTATACAAGTGCAACGCTCTACCACTGAGCTAAGGAGGCTTTATGTGTTTGGAAGGAAGCAGGGGACGATCAAGGGGATGAAACGTGGATACAAAGGAATGGGAACCGTAAGTACTAACAAGAACCGTCGGTGGTTGGGTTCTTGAAACCGACCGCGGTGACCGGGACCCGCCAGATCTGTCTCAAGAGTTCAAAGAGGGAAGATGAAGTGACAATAGATCCAAACTGGAAAAAAACTACCCATTGGTTAGTGGAACCATCCGTTCTCCATCCCTCCTAGCAAGATTGGACGGCTGGCCTTAAGTTAGCATTGATCAGGTCGGGAGCCGTGTAGCGACTGCTAGTAGCTACATAAAGTTGCTAAAACCCAACTCAACCTCCACCAGGAGCCGAACGGTATATACTACCAGCAATCGGTTTTCGAGGGAAGCAAGATCCAAAAGAGAAAAAAAATCCACTCCTCAATTCATACGTGGCAACATAGCGGGCCAAGCCTCCTAGCAGGATTGAACCGCTGGCCTTTGCATTGTAGAAGATATTATTCTCAAACGTCCAACACGCATCTATATAAGTGCAATGCTCTACCACTGAGCTAAGGAGGCATTATGCGGCTGGGAGGATAGTGGGTGATGATATATAGATACGCGGATACAGATGCCAAGGATTGAGTTAACAAGTGTAGCTGAGCGCTAAAATTAGAAACCCAACCGTTGACTTGCTATCAGTTTTCGAAGAGATCTCACTGAGAAAAAAACTCAGCCTGTCAACTCACCATGCCTCCTAGCCGGATTGAACGGCTGGCTTTTGCATTGTATAAGGAGATATCATGCTTACTTCTACTATACTACATACAAGTGCAACGCTCTACCACTGAGCTAAGGAGGCTTTATGCGGTTTTGAAGAAAGCAGGGGATGATACGTGGATACAAAGGATACAAAGAAATGGGAACCGTAGAAAGTACTAGCTAGAACCCAACCACCAACCACTGATCGCCGTGAGCGGGATCCGCCGGATCTCTCTCTAGAGTTCAAAGAGGGTGGATGAACAGAGTGACAATAGATCCAAACTGTAAAAATTACCCACTATTGATGCAGGAAGCATCCATGCCTCCTAGCCGGATTGAACGGCCGGCCTTTGCGTTGTAAACAACGTTCAACTTCGAGGTCTATACAAGCGCAATGCTCTACCACTGAGCTAAGGAGGCTTTTAGCTTGAAGTTGGGAGAAAGGGCTGTATATGATAGGAGGATATGATAGGATAGCGAAGGATACCATGGTCTCCGAGTAGTATTGACTACGACTGTAGCAATGGTACATAGCTTGCGTTACGAATACACTGGAACCAAAAAAAAAACTCCCACCACTTTGAAGAGAGTATTATACCCTCATGCCTCCTAGTAGCCGGATTGAACAGCTGGCCTTTGCAATTTGTATAAATGACATTCAGTCGAAAACCTCGTCAGGAAGTATACAAGTGCAACGCTCTACCACTGAGCTAAGGAGGCCCGGTTATGCAGTTAGGAAGGAAGGCTGAATTATGGATATGAGCTTGGATGAGAGGTCCTGAGAGGATGAAAAGGGTTAAATCGATCGGGTTGGGAGCATGCGTGGGCCAAGCAACCGAATGATTTAGTACTAATGGTTGACTAATGGGACAGTAGAGTCTGTACATACAGTATCTTGTGTAGGAACGAATACATCAAAAACAGACAAAAGCTCAAATATCATTGATCCCATATTGCCTCCTAGCCGGATTGAACAGCTGGCCTTTGCATTGTATAAACTACATTCAATGGGTCATACAAGTGCACTGATCTACCACTGAGCTAAGGAGACATTATGCAGTTGTGAAGAATGGGGGAATAGGATGAGAGGATATGATGAGAGCTCAGAGGATCCTCTTGGGGGGATGCAAAGAGTTGAATTTGAGAGCAAACATTGGACCAACCAACCGAACAGTTTAGTACTTCTAGTACTAACGGGACAGTGGACTCTGTATGTATCTTGTGTATGGACGAATACACCAAAAACTGAACTCATCACAGACAATATTGCCTAGCCGGATTGAACGACTGACATTTGCCATTGTTAACAGAAAGGGTGTATACAAATGCAATGCTCTACCACTTGAGCTAAGAAGGCATTGTTCACAATGCAGAGCATATGACACTCAAAGACAACTCAGAGACAAAGGATGGGAGCTAGACGATTTAGAATTGGAGAGCTTTTAGTCCCGATAGATTGAAAAAAAAAATGATATTCAGTTGGAAGCGTCGGTCTATACAAGTGAAATGCTCTACCACTGAGCTAAGGAGGCTTTATGCAGTTGGGAGGAAAGGCTGGATATGATACGAGGTCCTGGAAGGATGCAATCGAATTGAGAGCAAACGTTGGACTACCGACCAACCAACCGAACGGTTTAGTACTTCTAGTACTAAAGGGACAGTGGAGTCTGTACGTATCTCGTGTACGGATACATAAAAAACCAAAAAAAAACTCTCGCTGTCTCCATATTACCTCCTAGCCGGATTGAACGACTGACCCTTTGCATTGTACTATCCATTGTACTACCTATGAAGCCATGAGCAATGATATACAAGTGGCAACGCTCTACACTGAGCTAAAAACGCCTTTATGAGTAATGGGAGAATGGCTGGATATGATAAGAGGATCCTGGGAGGACGCAAAGGATTGAGAGCAGTAAGAATGATTGTTAAACGTTAAACCCCGATCGTGTCTTCCAACCGGCTAAGCACTCCAGAAAATCCACAAACTCGGCCTGGGCCATGGGGCCATGGGACAAGAGCACAGCATGACCCTCAGGACTCAGAGACGCGGTCCGGATGAATGTAAAAACGCCACAAACAAAGTTACATCTTCGCAGATGGAAGAGGAAAACGCCCGTCCGCAAAGGGGGTAGAAGCCCCAGGCCTAGACAACGATGCATAGTTACCTAGCCTCGTCGATTCCGAAAGCGCAACCACATACCCTGTCTGTCGCTTCGAATCCAGCCTCCCAGTACCACCATCGCTATTTTCATGGCTCAAGTCAGCTTCGAGAGTGACAGGAAAGCGCTCGTGGTTGCCGGATGGCCTTACGACTGCAGAGACCTCTCGATTTTCAGCTTTGGTCTGTCAGAGGGTAGTGGACCAGCGGGTTTACTGGCACCGTACAAGCTATCGAGGAGGTTACAGGTAGCATAAGCGTATTTTGGAATTATCGTAAGTGGAAGGAGGAAGGGTGTTTGTGGGGCGTTGAAGTCATGCTGTTTCGCGTTGGCATCGAAACCGTCGAGTTCTAGTACGGCCAGATCGATGAAGCGGCAGCTTGCTCGAGATAAGCTATTCCACGTAGGAATAGAAGTTGACGTTATGTTAAAGCCTAGGCACCAGATGTCAGGGAGAGCAGCGGTGGAGGAACTCGCCGTTATCACTCATCGACATCCCGCTATCTCCTTCGCCACCATCTATGTCTACATCCTCCAACGCCGCACTCGGACTTGTTCTCGTTCGTTCGCCCATCGTAACCACCAGCGTTGCTTTCTTTCGTCTTCTTGCCATGTGCCAAGGGAACTGTACACACTGCTATTATCCGAAGGAATAGTAGCCAGGACTGCAGGTGGGGAATAGGCCTGGATACGGGCTTTGTGGATTCTACGCTGGCGGAAGGTTTTGGTGCAGTAGGTTCGGTAGCAGTGCCTGCAGAGACGAGGTTGTTTCATATCGTCGGTTTCTCTTCCAACGACTTGCTAAGCGTCTTGAACTCGTTGTCGAGGACGTCCGGTCCGTCGACCGATATCTTGCTATCAAGGCCTGGGCCTGGGCGTGAATGCGTGAACGTACATAAAGAGACAAAAACCGACGTGCAGAGCTGGAGGTAAGACGTGTGGCGGTCACACTTTTTTGCTTATTACGTCAATCTCAAAAAGGATGCCTTCAAGCGCTCAGCTGAAGCGCTAAAGTTCGTTTCGTATTCCACAAACAAACCTATGCCAACAAACCCGCACCAGCCCGCACCTCGGCCTCAAGGCCTCCACGTTTCAACGTTCGTTAACGTTCAACGTTCAACCCGTACTTCACTGCTTCTAATCGAAATCACGAGGCTGACGCCGTCGCGGTGCTTCCCCAACTTTGCTTCTCCATCCCTTCCAAGTTCAACCGTATCATTCCAATCGTTTCTTTGTTTGTACAGATAAATTATGATATTCCACGGCCACCCTCGGTGCAGGGCTCAAATAACCTCTTTCTTGCTCGGCAATGCAAGACCACTCCCTGTCCAGGGGCTCAAGCGCTCAAACTTTATCGCGGAACTCCAAGCACGATATGAATATTTCCAACAGTTGTTCATCTTGAACGAATTCATTTCAGCTTCAAGCTCAAAAATAAATAAATTAGAGGACAGACCTTTCGGGCTTAATCCATTCGCCTTAACCAACCTGTCATTATCCAACTTCGCCAGAGCCGGAGCTGCCGGAGCTGCCCGCCGAGTCGCAGCGCTTATATATCCACTAACAGCCCCCTCAGCATTAGTGATCCTGACTGCTCCAACGACCCTTCTACGCTTTTTCCCGGTATTATCTTCGATCATAAACGAGAACTGTGCACCATTATCGAAGGCAGGATCGGAATAATAGTTATTCAATTGAGGCACAAGAATCTGCGGCGTCCGTGGGTTATGCCCATTTTTGAGGATGTATAGGAATTTGGAGAGAGCTTTGAAGGCCTTGTCCGTCGGGGGTATCTTATCGGACCCACCCTCCCACTCCCCTTGCACGCGATACCCCTCGGGTTTGGGCATGGGTTTGGGTATGGGTATGGGTTTGGGTTTGGGTTTTGGATTAAAGAAACTGCGGGGTGTCACGTTCGTCACTTGGTCAGGTTTAACCTAGGAAGTCATGAGAACAGGGTGCCAATAGGGAGTGCATATCTTTTCGATAACTTACGGGAAAGGGGATGGCAAGCACTACTGACACATGTAGCACGAGCAAAACGATGGAAAAGAAACGCATGGGTGGTAAAGCAATCGAGGAAAGACGACGCCCTTTTCGACCAGCGAAAGGGATAACGAGCTATAACGAGGGGGAGGGGACACAGTCGAGCCAAGCAAACTCTGTCGATCCCGTACTTATATCAATACGCGGGATCATGGCGGGATCAATGATCTTGTGATGGAAATATCTGGAGTTCCGGCACAGCATTCCTCCACCTATCAACTCGCAATGATTTTACTTGAATTCAATAAAATAAACTAATGCCATCGATTTCGTCTCAAATGGATCGTCTGTGTCGAGCCCACGTTCCCGACGTTCGTAGCTCATGTGGACCTGGTAAAGTGTGTTCAATTCCCATCTTCTTCGTCACTTCAGTCTGCTTTGCATATCAAGGCTTTACCGCCCAACAATCGCAGCTTCGCTCTAAAACAACAATATAATAATAACGCACTTGTTTTAGAAGTATCAGGAGTGCTATGTAGTACATTGAGTTGAAGAACCCTTTCTAGACCAAAAATTAAATACTTTCACATCCAGACGACTTTAGCCCAGCTCTACAAGGCAATCGGACTTTCACATATCTATCCTCGACCGTAGACCTCTGTTACTCAATGTTACTCCAGTTAGAGATTTATATTGAAAAAAAAGAAAAACAGTGAACTTACTTCTACAAGAAGGGTCTACGTCGCTGAGACGGGCAATGCCAGTTCGAAAGCAAGTTCCAAGAGGTGTGCTGATTTTTACATAACTTCTGTTTGACGCGCTGGTAGTCAAGTACTTATTGCTGCTTTTACATAGCCGGTCTTTTGATCTGGTCCTTTTGTCGACTGGGAGGACCAGATTACTTACCATCCTGGTCCTGCCTAATAGTAGCGGGCCGTGCCGCTTGTCGGTGCTACCGGTTATATAATAGTCTCTGAATGCCACAACAATGTCGTATCGTTCTGGTTCATTGCCAGGCTTCTTCATTCTCCAAAACCCCTTAATTCTCTCCCCTACGAAAATCCTTGTGGAAAATCACTCGGAGAGCGTTATTGTTCCGTCGCATATTTGGACGCTAGATTCCGCAACCGTGCTGGAAGGCACTCTTAGAGGCGTTCTCATCCGCCAGGAATACGTTGAACTCCTCCTCGCCGTCTTAGAATGGCTGAAATCGGCAAAAAAGAGATATTTGGCGGCCGATCAACGACACGAGGAATTCATCAGACAGTCGACGAAAGTAAAACAGTTGGATAGGGAGAAAAAGTCTGAAGAAAGCCCGATTGTGGACCAGTGGGCCACTTCTGGACCTTATAAATATATCTACTGATTCGCTCTAGTTCCAGCGTCTACATCGAGCGAGAGGCTATTCAAGAGTTGAGCGTCACTGCTAACCAATCCGATCCTTCATCGAGTAACACGGAAGAAGATAACCTCCCAGACCCTTCTGCCATTCGCTTGGTCCCTGCCTCGGATATCAACGCCTTGGAGGTTTTTCCCAACCCATTTGCGTTATCTGATAACAAGAATGTTGCCATGAGCTTTGGCCTCGTCGCCACTGGTGTTCGTGGTATTGGTGATTGTCTTCTTTTTAGGTGCAGTTGTCTGTCTATGCTGATTGACCTTCTCTACAACAGGAAAATCGTGGTTTCTGTTTCTCATTTGGCATCTCAGATGCGCGGAAAATCTTCCGACGCTGTATATGGTCGAACCCAACACTGCTTTGCTATGGAAAGATAATATCCAATATAGACTCATGCTCTCTCAAGTGCTTCCTGAAGATGTTTCGACCATGATACCATCTGAAACGTGGTGCCTTGTTGACTCAAACCGCAGCCTCGTCGATGTTCCAGTATTCTTGACACGTAGAGGATGTTTTATCATACAAGCCGCTTCCCTCGAGAGCGCAGAATGGAATGGAAGAAGAAGCATCCAGCCGCTCATTATCTGGTGATGAAGCCATGGAGCGCTGAAGAGCTCATATCTGGGTATGTTCTCATTCAAGTTGTTCATCTCGTTACTGATGGGGATCTGTAGGCTGCAACTTCAGGACATCTCACGCATGGAGACCAACGCAGAAGCGCTTGTCAAGTTTAGAGATCAATATGGGGGCTCTGCCAGGGATGCTTACAAGTACGCTTCCAATATGTCCTGGTGTCAGGTGGCAATCTCT